GGGGGGGCGCCCAGTGCAGGTGGGCGCCCTCCCTCCAGCCAGCCAGGGGTCCTCCCAGCTCAGCTGCCTTCTCCTGTCCTGCTCCAGTCAGGAGCCTTGAAGGGAGGAGTCCGGAGGGGAAGTGGATGGTGCCCTGTTCTGTTCGGCTGGTAGTTAGTGCTGTGTCCTGCAGCTGAAGGCCTGTCTGCAGGTAGGAATGGGCCAGTGGCCCCTGTGGACTCTGTGACGCACTGGAGATCCGGCAGGGGCCTGACCCCCCATCTTCCTAACTCAGATCCGACTTCTGCCTCTGCGACAGGCCAGCACTTGCTGCTGAGGCTTCCTGTGCCCACACTGTAGGCTCCTTCCACCCCACGTGGCAGCTTCCCAGTTCAGGTCCTTAAAGTGAAGGGAGCCAGATGCCGTGGGGCACGCCTGAAATCCCAGTGGCTCTGGAGGCTGAGGCAGGAGGATCACAAGTTCAAAGCCAGCCTCAGCAAGAGTGAGGTGTAAGCAACTCAGTGAGACCCTGTCTCTAAATAAAATACAACATAGGGATGGAGATGTGGCTCAGTGGCTAAATGCTCCTGAGTTCAATCCCTGGTACCCCCCTCCAAAAAAAAAAGTGAAAGTGAAGGGGAGTTTTGGCTCCTATTCCTGGGAAGTTCACATGTAGGGTTGGTGCGCTTTGCTGCAGGTCTCCACCGAGTCTATCCAGTGGATCTGGCTCTTGGGAACCTCAAACCTTCCCCCACCATCCCACCACCCACCCACCCCAGGCAGGCAGTGGCGGTGCCAAGGCCGTATCTGTGTGTCGAGCCTGTCCTAGCCTCTTCCACATTGTCCTGCAGTCCTCTCTGGAGCCTCCACGTGACCTCTTCCTAGAGGCCTCCCCAACTCACCTTGTCCCTGCTTTCTAACATGCCCTGCGTGTGGGGTCTGGATTGTTATAGTAGTGTGCATGAGCGTGTCCACTGTCACACTAGAATGTGGCGATGCTGCAGATGAAGCCATATCTTGTGGGTCACTCCTGTGACCCAGGGTAGAAGCTGAAGCTTAGTAGGTACTCATTGGCTGTGTGTGAGTAAATGAACACGTAACCCACGAGGCAGGTGGTCTCCACGATGGAGGACTTGACTCCATAAGCCGTTTCAGAGAGGAAAACCTTCCCCATTTGGTCTCCTGTCCCCTGGCTGCAAGAGAAGGCTGTACTTGCAGGTGACTCTGCAGGGACGAGGCTGTGCCTGTCTCTGTGTTGATGAGGCTGGAGGTCAGTGCCACCTCTGCCTGCCACACGCAGTGTGTTGCTCGCGCATGCACAACCTCCCCAGGCCGGGGCCGCCAGCCAGCCCTGCTCCTCCAGGCCTCCTGGGCCTGAAATCCCCTCTGAACACGTGTGCTTCTAAGTACATGGTGACATGTGTGTGCATGTGTGTGTGGGGATAGTATGAGTGTGCATGGCTGTGAGTGTGTGCAAGTGTGGATGGAGTCACCTCCATCCACATCCATGAGTGTGTGCCTGTGGGAGGAGTGAGGGTGTGTGAGTGAGTGTGGATGGGTGTGAGTGTGTAAGTCACACAAGTGCGGGCACGTTGATCAGGAGGACAGACAGGACTGCCCTCCACTCCTCAGGCTGCATGCTTGGTCACCTCTGTAGGGCACCCAGCTGCTCTCAGCCTGATCTTGGCATTTAGGATCCCTGAGCTCACATGTCTCTTTTTATTCCCAAAATCCAGTTGAAGGTCAGAAATTCCAGTTGGGAGAGAGATTATGCTCTGGAAGAATGCCAGAGGACAGGGTGGCTGGGACCTGGACGTTGAGGCCCACGGAGGGCCTTGGCCTCAGCCCCAGGCCAGCTCTGCCCTTGGACGCTCAGCAGAGCTGCTGTCCCCGAGGTCTCAGTCCAGGACCTCTGTGCAAGGCAGGGGTGGGTAGCAGAAGTCCTGGCATCCTGGGGGACATGGTGGTGTTAGGGGACACCGCCTGCCGGAGGACATGATGATGCTGGGTGACATGATGGCATTCGGGACACTGTCATGCTTCCTTTCCCTCTGGGTCCCTTAGGAAGGGCCAAGAAGGATGCTCATAGTCACAAATAGAAGTGAAATCAAGTGGGAAGAAAAGCTGTCCTGAGGGCTAATCCTCGAGGCACCTGATCAGCTGCGGGGACGTGAGGAGGCCTAGACAGAGCAGCTTGCAGGGATCAGTGGGGACACAGGAGGTGGAGGAAGCTAATTATAGAGCCAGAGATGAGGGAGGGCTGCAAGGGGCCAGCTTGCCGACAGGGGCTCTCAGTGTGCATTTCCCGGGCCCGTCCTGGGCCAGCGCAGGGGTGAGTGCTGGGAAGAAGGCAGGTCCTGCCAAGGTGGAGTGGAACAGAGGGTGCAGCTCGGAACGAGGACCTGCTGGGGGTTCCTAGGTGTGGGGGCCCAGGAGGGCTCACCCCGGAAGGAAAGAAGGGGGCTGGGGGAGGTGGAGAGAGAAGCCCTTGAATTTGGGAGAAGCCCTTGAACTTGGGCAAGGCCTGGCCCTTTCTGTAGATCCTGGGGAACCAGGAAGCTGGGTTTCAGGACAGCCTGACTGCAGGTGCATGGAGCAGAGCACCGTGACCTGGGACAGGAGAGGCGTGCGGAAGGCTTTCCCAAGAGTCCTGTGTGAGGCACTGGGCTCCCCTGCCAGGGTGTGACGGGGCAGGAATGGCCTTGACCCTACACGGCTGGCCTGGCCTATCTGCTTCCCAGTGGGCTGGGAAGTTCACCCCCAGGCCTCATTGGGCAGGTGCCAGGACTTGGTGGAGTGAGAGGCGGCAAGCGGCACTCTCCAGGGAGGAACACGCAGGGCTCCGAGGGTGCTTCTCTTGGGGTCGCAGAAAGAGCTCCAGGGCCCCTTGTCTGCGCCACTGTCCCGAGGGACTGTCCCAGCACCTTCTGCTCTGGCCCTCCCACCTTGCAGCTGGACAGGGTCCAGGGAGGTGGGGTTGCAGGCCACAGGAGAGGGGGATGCCAGCTGGTCCCCTGCTCCTCGCCCCGAGATCTTACTCTGTTTCAAGACCGCCACTCTGTTTGCCCACCTCTTTAGAACACAGACCGCTAACCTGTTCAAAGTCCAGGGCTGGCAGAAGGGGGTGGAAAGGCTGCAAGAGGACGGAAGGGAACAGAGACTTGGCACTCGCTCCAGGCCGGGTGCCGGGTCTGCATCAACTCAAGTTCACCATCGTGTTGCGTGAAGCCGGAGCTGCAGTCACAGGGGGGGTGTCATTCCCCCCAGGCCACATGGGTGACCTGTCCAATGCCAAACCTTTGCCCTTTTGCCCAACCTGAAGGGGTGCCCAGTCTGGAGTGGGTGGGAAGCCCCTCGATAAAGAAGAGGAGACACAGACAACACAATCCCTGACTTCCTCTACCTTTGCCATTTCAGCTGTCTGGGCCTCCGCGTCATGAGCAGCTCTCCAAGGGACACCCAGGGCCCAAGTCACCGGCAGGGCCTCCTGCCCTCTGTCACCCACGTCCCACCAGCCAAGAAGATAACCTTCCTCAAGCGCGGGGATGCGCGGTTCGCAGGAGTTCGCCTGGCCGTGCACCAGCGCAGCTTCAAGACCTTCAGTGCCCTGATGGACGAGCTCTCCCAGCGCGTGCCTCTCTCCTTTGGGGTGCGCTCCGTCACCACACCCCGGGGCCTGCATGGCCTCAGTGCCCTGGAGCAGCTACAAGATGGGGGCTGCTACCTTTGCTCGGATAGAAAGCCCCCCAAGACCCCCAGTGGGCCGGGCCAGCTGCGGGGGAGGAGCCCCTCTGCTCTGCAGTCCCGGGACTTGGACGGCGGGCGTGAGGTGTCAGGAACATCCTCTTCCTGGAAAGGACCTAGAGCCCCAAGGAGGATAACGCTGGTTAAGAACAGGGACCCCAGGTTCCAGGAGACGGTGGTTCTCAGCCACAGGAACACCAGGAGCCTGGCGGCCTTTCTCAGCAAAGCCTCGGATCTCCTGCGCTTCCCCGTGAGGCAGATATACACCCCCAGTGGGAAGAAGGTAGGCTGTGGGCCATATTTCCTTAACAAGGCCTCCGGACCTCAGGTCGGAACACAGATGGGACGGGAGGCTCCTCCTGACCACTCTACGCTACCCACAGTGGACAGCGGGAAGGCCCCAGCCTGGCCGCTGGTGGAGCAGGAACTGCTCCCACATCTCCAGAGCCTATTTACCGAGCACTTGGCAAGAGCCAGGCTCCTGCTTGGCACACTCTTCATTTTCTTCCCCAGTCCTCTCGGCAGCCTCCTTCCAGGAGAGTTCAGAGCCATCAAAATCATGTTTATATTCTCTCCTGAAGTCACCCCATACTGTACCCCTGTTTCAAATTCAACCACAACCCACATGGCATCCTTTATGTTAAGGTCTATCGAAGTCCATGCCCATCAAAATACCTGATTTAAAGTGGTGTTAAGAATTTGATAGCAAAAAGTAGGAAATTGGTTAATATAGATAGACCCAATATGGTTTCTTGGCAGAGGTGGGAAGGAGATTGGCTTCGTCTCACGAGGCTGTGGTTGGTATTTAAAATCCCCTCCACTCCCCATCCTGGCTCCTTCTGCTCCCACCAGGGCGTACTTGGCAGAGGGAGCCACACTCTGAGGCTGAGCCTTGGAGCTCCTGCCGGCCGAGGCGGCCGCGGCTGTGTTGACGTCTCTCCCTGCCGGGGCAGCCAGACAGGCACCCCAACAGATTCTGTGTAATGGCGACCACTTGCCCTTGAGGATAACCACCCACCGCACCCGACACGGGAGCCCTCTAGTTGCCTGTGGGCTCATCGTCCTGGGCAACTCCACACACCCTGGTGGCGGTCTCCACTTTCAGCTCATGGAGCCGCCAGGTGACTCCAGGGGGGATTCTCCTGTATCCTGGGGCCTCCCAGCCAGCAGATGCCCAAGTTGCTGGGATGGGAAGCAAAAGGTTTGCAGCCATAGGTGCAAAGAAGGGCACCTGATTCACAGGTGTACCAGGGCAGGGAGCCACTCTCACTTCCTGCCCGGAGTCCCCAGGTGTCTGCAGTCTGCTCTTGAAGCACTTGTCAACATCCTGTAAGGTAATAGTCAAGGGGCGCTTCCTGGCTGTCTCCCAAATGGAGTCTTCCAGAAACTGTCCCGCTGTTCCCATGCTACAGGTGCTCTGGGGCGGTGGCATATACCACCTGCCACACGGTGACTTCCACGGGGTGAAGCCCCTGTCCAGGTCTTTACTATAAAATCAGTCCTTTGGGAAGAAGTGCTCAAGAAGTCCACAGAAAGGGATACTGGAAGAATGACGGACAAGACACAAAACCTATCCAAAATAAGTGTCCATCTCAGTGAGGACACGTGGCTGGCCATCTCCTAGACAGGAGCCCAGTGTCCTTAGCTCCCCACCAGGTGGCTGGCTGAGTCCCTCGGGGTATGATGCAGAGCATGAGGTGAGCCTGGGTCTCTGCTCCAGGCAGACCCAGCCCTGAGAGAATGTGGCAGCCAGATCTATGTGGACCAAGTGGAGCTGGCATCCTCTTTAGTGTGACTCAGCCACTCTGTGCAGGAGCTGACGGAGCATGCCTGGGGAGCTGAAGAAGCAGGGCGCCGGGCTCCACTGTGCAGGTCAACTTGTCCACGCGACGATCATCGCTCTTTGATGAACAAGCAGGGCACCACGTTCTCTCCCTCTGGGCGGATCCTGAGAGATCCTTTCGCAGATCCTTCTCTGCATTCCTCACCACCAGTTTCCCAGTCCTGATCCTCCCAAGTCCCTGATTGTCAGATGATACGGTCAACCACTGCCCATAAGTGGCAGAGAGCCTCTTGCCATTCCTCCTTCCAGGAAGATAGTCCACCAAATCACAGAGTCCCCTGCCTTTCCTTCCTCGTTGTCCTTCGTGAGGCTGCGCGGGTCTGTAATGTGGCCACACCGCCTCCGGCCAGGTGGCCATGTTCTGGGACCCAGAACCCAACCTGTTCTTCAGAGAACTGGTCCTAGGGAATTCCCCAGGAAGCCCCAGGTGTGTGCTGAGGGAGGCAGCTTTGCCACAGGTGAACTGCGAGTGGGAGCCACCTGCCCAAGCTCTTCTTGAGCCTGAGCCCGAGTGTGTCTTCCCCCTGGTGAAGGAGCGCCGCCCCGACACCTGCTCTGCAGCTCATGGGCTGCCTGGCCCCGGTCAGCTGCGTTCCAGCAGAGTCAGTTTCTGCATCTGAGTTTTGGCTACAGGAGAAGAGAGACCCTTGGCAGTGGTTGCGGAAGCTCCAAGCCCTCGCGCTGTCCTCAGAGGAGGGTTTAGAGGTGGAGCTGCCGATTCTGAGGCTCGAGGCAGCTCGCAGGGCCCCTGCTCAGTCCTGCTTAGTCTTAGACAGGTCTGTTGTGGCAGCCAGGGCAGCCACAGTCCTGCTGTCAGTACACCACTTCTACCACTCAAGGTCACCACTTAAGTACCTACTTTGTCACTGTGTGCCATGGGCTACCATGTCCCCTTGTCACCAGTTTATCATCACCTTCGAATCCAACCAGCCCAGATAACTAACCCCAGATTCTCTTCCTGAGGGCCTGGTCCCACGAACACCTCTGACAACACTCTGTCAGCTGTGGCTCGGCACAGGAAAGAGTCCCCTCTCGATACCTTACGTAGGGAGGAGCTCTGCACAGAAGAGTCACTGGAAGGCCGGAGGAGCCCAGGCTGCATTCCTGGAGAAGATTCCAGAATGTCACCAAACTGATCTCTAACAGTCTGCATATTGGACCACTGGGTGACTGTCACTGGGATGACTGGGTTCAGTGTTACCCCTCCGTCTCTGGGACCCAGCCTGGGGAAGGTGATCAGTGTCACAGTTGTCTGTCGATGCTCAGGAGCTGGTGAGTGGGCACTGAAATAATGAGTGTCACTTTTGCCATCTTTCGGCTCAGCCTCTCTGTGCCTGTTGCTTGCCGGCAAGTCAAAAGGTGAAAGAAGGTGACCTCTGCTTTGCTGCCATGATCCCTGTCTTGGGCACCCAGTGAGAGGGGCCGATTCATGTGGAGAGCCCTAGCTGCACGGGAGATCTGGAAACGGCTCCCGGCTTCCTGAGCATTCTGAGAAGCAGCCCAGAGAGGGTGTTTCAGAGATGGCCTGGTCCAGAGCCCAGCCTCCACCACACACATCCAGGGACAGCTAAGTTATTATCCCCTTTGGATAGAAAAGGAAAACGAGGCGCAGAGGCTAAGTAATTTGTTTGTAGTGCACAGCTGACAAAGAGCAGCACCGGCATCCGTGGTTTCAAAGTCATAATGCAAAAATGCTCTTGAATCATTGAGGACTTACCACGTCCTAGCATGTGCCACGTACAGAGACCACGAAAAATAGGTCCCTACCTTGGGTACCTTGGGTTGGCTCACACTCTGGGGGGTTTAGTGAGGGAGAGAACAGACTCAAAATACGTGAAAGAGATATTAGGATGTGTCCCGCAGACTCCCGGCGGAGCTCTTAGATCTCTGTAGACCCCCAGGGAAGGCTGTCATGACTTCACTGTGGGGTCCTCTGCTGGGTGAGCTCCTGATAATGCCCTTTTGTTACCGACTCTAGATTCCACTCGCCCCCAGGGGTGAAAGCACCGTTCAGATCTCAGTTCGTCTGCTCTCCTGGAGAGTGTTTTCCTAGGTGTGAGGCTCCATCTGAAAGCTGAAAGGCCTGGCTCGTGTCTGTAGTTTTGAGATGGACCAGAAATCTAAATCCAAGAAGAAATGCACCTAGAAGTTGAAAACACACGTCTAATCAACTGGGCTGAACCATCTGGAGTATAAGAAGTTGGTGTCATTTGGGGGGAGACTCAGAGTTCTCTGTCTTTTCCTTGCTAATGAGAGTAAACTCTTCTAATTAGAGAAAATGAAAAAGAACATATTCTGCACTTTAAAGATGAAACAAGTCCCCTGACACAGCTAGAGATGGCAGCAAGAGTGCAAACACTCAGGGGTGCAGGGCCTCTGGGGCCAGGTGAGACTGTTCTCTAAAGCGGGGGCTGTTTCCAGCCTGCTCAGCTCTGACCCAGGAGAGGGCGGGGCACGCTGTGGTTGGTGCTGGGCCCGGTGGGGGTTAGGAGCCTGGACACCAATGCAGGACGGAGGCAGCGAGGGCTCCTCCACTACTTGGGCAGAGGCAGAGGCAATGGGCTCGGATTACCCTAGAAAACTCAGGTCAGACACCAGAGAGGACTCTGCTTGGGAAAATGGGGGAAAGTCGAGTCCAGGCTCTGCTTGGGGCTGGAGGGCTTTCTGCGGCAGCCGCGTTAGGAAACACACTCTGGTGGGGGGACATGTGGGCAGGGTAGAAGCCGGAGGGCTCTGACCTTCTTTCCTTCCAAAGCAGGCTCATACCTGGTGGAGGGAGAGCTAGAGGGGAGGCCACGTGGGAGGAACCAGTGCTGGGCAGCAGGGAGCGTCTGGGGGTGGCGGGTGGCACTCGGGTGTGATGTGAAATGTCAGGAGGGCTGAAAGGCTGATCCTGTCCCCCTGTGCCCCCCAGCAGGGGGTCTCTGCAGTGAGGTCTCTGCTCACGCTGTCCTCTGCAGGTGGACTCCCTGCAGGCCCTGCTGCGTGGCCCCTCCACGCTGGTGTGTGCTGGGAACGAGGCCTTCAGACCTCCAGCTCTGGAAAGCGCCCAGAAAAACAAGACTGAGACTTTATCTGGGATGACTTCAAGGAACAAACACAGTGAGTTTGCTTTGGGCTCCGATCTGATTTGCACTGCGTGGTGGGCCGGCAGGGCTGGGCAGCTGCCTCCAGGCACCTGGCCTCAGTTCTGAGGTGTGCCAGCCAGGTGGAGGGTCTCTCTGTGTCTTTCTCCTTCTCATAATCGCCAACCTTAACTGGGCTGAGCATTTTATGGGGATGGAGAAGACGGAATGAGGTATTTAAAGAAACGGGAATTGGGAAATCTTGAGCTGGCAGTTTCTAGGGTCTAAAGAACTTGTGGAGGGACACAGTGGGCCTGGCCTCACGGCGGCAAAGGGCCTGGTGTGTGCAGATACTCACATCTTCTGAGAACCCTGGCTGTCTTAGGCAGCGGGCGGCCTGCAGCGGGGCCACCAGCACTGAAAAACCCTGACCAGAGGTCACACGCCTGCACTGGTCACGGCCGAGGCTCTGTTATCCCACATCACACCACTTAAAAGGCATCATGAACAGAGGTGAATAAAAAATCAAACCAGAATGACTGGAATGATGACGGGCAAACCTTAGCAAGTAAACTAAGGAAACACCCACCCTGGTGCCATGCTTGGGCCAGAGGCACAAGGCATCAGCCCAGGCCCCTCTCAGAGGAGCCCTGGGCTTCCCTGATGTGCCCAGAGGTGCTCACAGGGCCTGCCAGGCTGGCCACGGGCTCAGCCTCTGCCCGCCCCGCCCAGTCACCACGCCCAGCTCAGGAGATGAGAGGAGAAACCCCTCGGTGGCCCATTCTTCCCGGGGCCGCTTTCCATCCTCACTGGCTCCTTCTTGTTTTCCTGGACGGGGTGAAGGCTGGGTGACCAGGGCCTGAGAGTGTGCATCGGGACCCTTCCCGGCCGTCATTTATCAGCCCAAGAGCTCGATGAGGGTGAAATCGATCACCACAAGTGATCGCGAGCCTTTTCCAGTGTGAGTCGGGCTGCCTCCTGGCCTGCAGCTGAGGAGCCCGGCACTGACCCCTGCAGCCCTGCTGGCTCCGTCCTGGTGGCTTTAGATGCATGGCTGGCCACACGCACACCCTCAGAGCCAGCCTCCCGGGCCTGTGCCGTTCTGCTTCTGTCACAGTTCAGGAAAGGTTCTGCCCAAAGCCCCCCCAGCTGGTGGCCAGGAGCGTGGAAGGTGGACTCCTGGGGGTGCATCAGGGTTGCTGCTCAGGGGGGCTTTCTCCTGGGAAGTCCTGGCCTTTGCCTGGCTCAGGCAGCCCCCTCATGCTGGCCCCCCTCTCTGGACTCCTCATGAGTCCAGCTCATGACTTCTCACACTGCTGCCCCTTGTCTGGGGACCCCCTAGTGGTCCAACAGCCGCTGGGACCCTTGTCTGACGTTCTCCCTGCCGGGCTCCGCAGGCCCCTGTGGGCAGTGTGACTCCCTTCGTGCAGTGGGGAGGCGGCGGGTGCCCTCTGCGTCGTCCCCGCTGGCTCACTGCCCTCTCTCCCCTTACTCTCCACTGCACGCCAGGTTGCTGGGGGCCCAAGGCCAAGCAGAGCGTGATCCATTTGAGGTCCACGGCCAGCAGCAGACCGCCACAGTTCTCCTTGTCTGGTCTCAGAGACCCCTCAGCATCCTTGCATGGTGCCCCCCACAGGCACCCTCAGGACACGTCTGGCCCGCTGCTGGCTGGTGACAACGTGGAGAAGAAGGTCTGCATGAACGAGGACGGCAGCCTGTCTGTGGAGATGAAGGTCCGCCTGCACCTCCTGGGCGAGGAGACGCTGCTGTGGTCCCACAGGGCGGGAAGGGCCGGCACCCTCACTGCAGCCAGCGGGGAGGGCCCCGTCCTGGGGGAGGGGAGCCCCCTCTGCTGCCGATGGGGGGGCCACCCGTGGGGCTTCTCAGAGTCAGGGGCACAGAGACCGGGTCCCTGCGAGGCAGGACCTCAGGGAGCGTTTGATGGAGGCCAGCAGCCACGGCCGAGCTTCGAGATCTGGAGGAACCCCCTGTATGTCCCCCAGGGTGAAGGGGCGGCTCCTTGGAGGAGGTCAGGGCTGGCCCAGCTCTCTCAGTGCAGGGGCCGCTGGAGTAGAGGGGCCAGGAACAGGGAAAGACGAAGCAGGGACAGCGGCAGCCCTTCCTCCAGTGCCGGACATGGGGAAGGCTCCGAGCCAGACTCCTGCAGCCCCAGGACCCCCGAGGGTGGCGTGGGCAGTGACAGCCCGTGTCCAGCCTCCACAGCTGCTTCCCAGTGCGGAGATGAGAGGGAGGCTGGTGAGGGCTCCTGCCCAGGGGAAGCAGAGCTGGGTGGCCAAGGACAGCATGGCTGCCCAGGACCAGGGATCCCAGGTGCAAAGGGAGCCCTTTCTGACTCCTTGGCCAGTACTGGGCCTCGTGAGGAGTCCAGCAAGTGGGATGGCCAGCATGAGGGCTGCCTGAGCCCAGTGAGGGTCAGGACTTCCCAGGAGAAGGGCTCCCAGGGCAGTCGCACTGATGATCCCACCAGGAGTCTCTCACCTCTGAGCGATGGGGACTCGCAAGCAGAGCAGTGTGAACAGGGCACCACACACCAGCAGGCCACAGAGGGACCCGTGGCGGGGCCACCGCTGGCTCTAGGCCGTTCCCACTCTTGGGATGCAGAGGGAGGCTGTCCCGGGCTTCTTGCTCACGCCCCTGCCCAGCTGGGGAGGAGGAAGCGGCAGAGCCCGTCTAGCGCAGTGTCCTCACCTGGTACTGCCGGCGTGGTCCAGAGAGGCCGTGCCAGGCGGTGTCACCACTGCAGGGACACCCACTGCCTGCCAGACTCCCCCACAGCCCTGCAGATGCCCAGGACTGGCCCAGGTGGTCCAGGGCCACAGCTTTCTCAGAACTCACCCAGCACCAGAAAACAGGCCTCCAGGGACCTGGGACCCTCCGTCCCTGGCTCTCTGGATTCCCAGGACCTACCAGAGGCCAGCAGTGCCAGCACCACACTCCTGAGTAACTCAGACTGTGCTGCCGAACTGGCGGGGGACACCGAGGGCAAGGTGTGCTCCCCTGAGCCCCTGCAAGGGGGTGGCAGTCTGGGGGACCAGGCAGAGGACACCCTAGAGCCCTCCTTGCCCTTGGCTCTGCCAGTTGGATGTCCCGAGGGAGAAGAGCCAGGAGCCCACAAAAGCTGCTGCTGCCCACAGATTGGGTCCTCCCCTGTCCAGGGGAAGACCAGTGATCCCGCGCAGGCTGCCTGGGGGCCCTTCTCTGAAGCCTGCTGGGTGTGCAGGGGCTACTGCCCCACTCCTCCCAGGGGCCGGCCCTGCTCCAGGAAGCACCCGACAAGTAGCAGTAGCACCAGCAGTGACCACCAAAGGGCTGACGACGGGGGGCCAAGCAGGAGCAGGCTGGGGGATGAAAAACTCCAGGTGGAGAGCGGGCTGTCCCCTGGCCCTGAGTCAGGGACCGTGGGGGCAACAGTCATGGTGGCAGGCAGGAACAGCCCTGGTTCTGGGCCCAAGCGTGTATTGCTGGGGACCAGCTCTGGCAACGGGGGTGGCCTGGAGGAGCCTCGGGAAGATGGCACCATGACGCCCCATGATCTGCCCCACTCCTCGCCGGACGCCATGGTCCGCGAATGGCTGGACAACATCCCAGAAGAGCCTCTGCACGTGAAGCATGAGATGGTGGCCGAGGCCACCAGTGTGGTCAGCAACATCCCAGAAGGCCCCCGGGAGGACCCTGAGGGGGATCACTCTTTGAGCAGCACTGGGGAACAGGCTCAGGCTGGACGGCAGGCCCTGGAAGGGGGTACCCATGAGCCAGACAGAACCCCTCCAGGAACCGGTGACGCGGGCTCCAAGCCAGGAGACCATTCTCATCAAGGTACAGCTCCGGGCCAGGCATCCCAGGCTGCGTCGGAGGCTAGAGTGGGAGAAGGGGCTACTGTGGGCCCTGGCATGAGCCCGTGTGTCCTTCCGGGCAGAGATTCTGCCTCCATGCAGATCATGAAGGCCCTGATGGGCTCCAAGCACGGCCGACCCAGCAGCCTGCCAGAGGTGTCCAGCGCTGAGGCCAGGCGGCTCCGCCGCTTGGCGGGTGACCTCATTGCCTGCCTCGCCCGGCTCCACTTCTTTGATGAGGATCTTGGGTCTCCTGCTGGCAAAGTGAGACCCACACACTCAGCGCGCTACCAGGAGCTGCTGAACATCTCCCAGACCCTGTGGCCAGGGTGTGGCCTGGGGCGAGACATGCTGGACTTGAGCCTTGGGGACCTCACTTCACTACAGGCCCCGCCGGTGACGGACAACTTCACGCCCACCTCCTCCTCGGGTGTGGACGTCAGCAGTGGCTCCGGAGGCTCCGGGGAGGGTAGCGTGCCCTGTGCCACGGATGGTGCCCTGGTCTCCGAGAGGACGGAGCTGCCCCTGGAAATCTCCCAGAGGCCTGATTCCAGAACTTCGGGGCACCTCGAGGACCTGGGAACCCGGCAGCCAAGTGGTCTCCCAGCTGCTCCCAGCTCCCAGGTGTGCGCCTGTGCCGCCAGCGGGGAAGGAGGAGGCGGCCCCGGGGAGCAGATGCTGGGCGATGGCCTGGAGCCATCAGGAAAAGGCCCCGAAGGGTTTGTTGGAAACACACTGCAGGAAGCGGAGGCGCAATCAGAAGAAACAGAAGAGACAGAAAGCCCCCCAGAAGAGGGCCTCGAGGAGGTGGGGCTCCTAGGAGAAGCCGGAGTCAGCGGGGAGGAGTCGCCAGGTGGGGAGGGCACGCTGGGAGACCCGGGGGTGCCGGGAGAGGAAGCAGGAGGGGACTCTGCTTCTGCAGGGCTGTGTCCCCCAGGAAGCGCAGAGGAACCCGCAGAATGCCCTCGCAGTGAGAGGGACTCCCATGCCAGTGAGAGTCAGACTGGCCCCACATCAAAGTCCAGCTTGGAAGAGCTGTCCAGAGCAGATGCGCTGGGCTGTGAGCCAGCCCCGGCCAGGTTCACCCCAGGGACTGGGGAGTCCAGTGCATCTGCGGCCCACAGAGTGTTTCTGGAGCCTGACCCCGCCTGGGTGTCCAAGTTGCTGAGAAAGATAGAGAAGGCCTTCATGAAGCACTTGGCTACGGCCACTGCCGAGCTCCGCGCCCGCTGGGACCTGCAGGACGACCCCCTGCTGGACCAGATGGTGGCCGAGCTGGAGCAGGACATGGGCCTCCGGCTCCAAGAAAGCACTAACAGAGAGCTCCAGAAGATCGAGAGCCGGACTGGGAGGATGGCCCTGGGGCCGCCCAGGGAGGTCATCAGGGGACAAGCGTCCCTGCAAACGGAGCAGCGCAGGCGTCGCCTCCAGGGTCTGCACAACCTCTTGGCCTTTTCTGAGCAGACCTATGCCCGGGCCCTCCACTCCCTCACCCTGGAGGACCGGCCCACCCTCCACGAAGCCCTAGGGGACCTGCCATGTGGGGAGACTGAGGAAGACGAGTTCTGTCCCTGTGAGGCCTGCATTAGGAAGAAAGTGGCCCCTGTGCCTCCAAAGGACACCCCAGGGGCCTCCAGTGCACCTATCAAAAAGGCCTTTGACCTACAGCAAATTCTGCAGAATCTGCAGAAGAAGAAAGAAGGGGGTACTGATGGAGAGGCGGAGGAGAGGGTCCCCGAGGGGACAGGGACAGAGCTGCCTCGGGACATCCCCGCAAGAGCTGGGTCTGTCCAGGACCTGGGACCCACGGTGGGCCAGGAGCGTGAGGGTGAGGGGAGCCAGAGGCCCAGCAGAGACGAAGATGCTCAGCTAGAGGAGGCCGAGGAGGCTGGTTACCAGGAGACTGCGGGGGACGCAGAGGCTGGGAGAGCCCACGGCCACCATGGCAGCACTGCGGAGGAGGCCCAGCAGCTGGAGCGGGCTGAGACTGAGAAGGAAGGAGCCCTGGGTGAGCACTCTGGGGAGGGGGACGCCTCGGAGGCTGCAGGAGGACCTGGTGACCTTGTCGATGCCATAGAGGCCCAGGAGGCTGGAGGAGGCAGGCGGCTGGAGTCCACGGGAGGAAGTCAAGGTGAGGAAGAAGATGGTCCTCTAGCTAGCCCAGGACAGGGACAGAGAAGGGAGGCTTCTGAAAATAGCGTCACAGACCAAGAGGTGACCCCACCGTCACCTGCCCCGAGTGAGGACACCCCTCACCCGGAGCCAGACCCCCAAACCCATGACCGCTCCTCCAGAACCTTCACCCTGGGCAACTGCTCCCTGGTCTCCCAGAAAGGCTCAGAGGAAGTTCAGGCCGGCGGAGAGCCGGGGGACACCGGGGCCGAGTCAGAGCCACCTGCACAGGAAAAAGTCACCTCCATGTATCCGGAGAGTTCCACGTCTGAGCGTGAGGAGCCCCCTTCAGACCCAGAGACTCTGGAGCAGGGGTCAGGCAGAGACGCTGGCGAAGGCAATGAGAAGGCCCCCCAAAGCTCCCCGCGTGCCCCGTCGGGCGCGGGGCCAGGGGCAGATGGCTTCCACCAAGAAGACCTGGACTTCTAGGCATGAAGCGGCAAGACGGCCTGAGAGCGGGAGCTGCTTTATTCATATTTTATCCTTAACCCTGAGCACGGCTCAGGCCTCAGGGGACTAAAAGGATCATGGGCAAAGATGGCGACTCAACAGGGACGCAGCCCGGCCACACTGTCCCTGAGGTCTTCACTGAGGCTTCAGAGAGGAGCCTGGCCACACAGGGCGCCAGGAAGGCTCCCCTGCTGCCCCTCTATCATGGGAGGCCAGACGCGGCCGGGTGGTCTGCAGGGCCCAGAGGACGGCGCGGGCTGGAAATGTGCCAGGGTTTCGGTTGGCTTTCTGCTAGCCAGGGCTGCTGGGTCCCTCTCCCCACGGATCCCCCGTTAATCTTCTCCTTGGTCTCTCCTGGCACTCACCTTGTTTGACTTTGAGGGCTTTTTTTTTTTTTTTTCCATAGCCTTGAATGTATTTGATGACTGCAGATGTAAATATTTGGGGAAAGCAGATAAATTTAGGGCATTGGATAAAGTTTGTTCTTAGCCCCAAAGTCCAAGTGTTTTTTCTTAATTCATATATTTTGTAAAAAAAGAAACAAAACAAAACAGGAAGAAGTTCTTACTCCTGACCCCATCAACCAGAGGCAGCTTCTGTCAGTGGCTGGATATATCCCTTCCCATGTTTCCCAAGCATGTGTAGCTGAGATTGTTCTTCGTATAACATTTATATGCTGCTTTAAAAAAAAGGTAAGGTAAGAATTTCCCTATTTGTCTCAAACATTGCATAAACCTACTTTTACACCTGAAAAATGGTGCGTTGTGAGAACATGAAGTACCTCACCTTTACCTACTGATGTCCAATTTGGCTTCCATTATTATTTTCTTACAATATTTTTTTTTCTGAGCTTCTGAGGCTTTCTTTAGGATAATCCCAAGCATAAAATTACTGGGCCAAGTGATACCAATATTTCTAGGCTCTTGGAATACTTGAACCCAATTATTTTTCCAACAGTGGGTATATCACTGGCCTGGCGTGTGGTCATCAGGGTTGGCAGTGCCATTACAAATAAGAAGAAGACATTTGCTATTTTTATAGGCAAAGGCAATACTTCATTTTAATGGGGTACTATTTTAGATATATTTGATTACTAATAAAATAAAAAGCTTTAGGTTTAAAAATGTTTGCATATAGATTCTATGTGTATGCCTTTTACCTATTTTTCTATTGATGTTCTAGCCCCACCCCCTTTTAAATTTAATCACATGGACCCATCATCATTTTTTAAAAATTTACTTATTATTTTTGGGATTTAAAAAAAATGCCCTGTGTCCTCTTCTTCCATAGCAGGCCTTGGGCTGGGTCCTCTCTACTTAGGGAGCTCAGTTGGGGCTCAATTTCTTTGACTAGTTCTCTACTGCTTCCATGTTCATAAGGACCATTTTTTTGGTATCCAGATTCACAAAAAAGGACATCTACAACATAGGAACAGGGTTCAGTCACTGATTTTTTAAACGTATCCACCAAAAGCAAAGATCTATGTGTGCTGTCTGTAGTCACCTACTCTGCAGACGGAGGAGATGTCTCAATAAAATGTAGCATGTTTTAAAATTTCTATGCAGGTGATTCCTTAAGGTTTTTGCAGTAAATAAAGACATAGCATGTGTCTACACACACACATGAGTATTTATATGTCTGGAGGGTGGAGTATTGAGCTGGTTTTCCAACAATCAATCAGCATCGACTGACACGACTGACACTGATACTGGCTGAGGGGCTGGTGGAGACCAGGGCCAGCCGTCAGGCAGAGTGAAGCAGCAGCACCTTCTTAGATGGCCCAGTGGGACAGATGGAAAAGTGAGCTTGTCTGGATATGGTGATGTGCACAGCTGTCCAGCTCTTGTCACTGTGAGTTGGCATGAAGCATCCAGCAGGCACCTCCTCTGTGATTTGAGGTCCCCAGTCATTCCCCGAGAGACTCTCCGGTGCCTTAGTTTCATTTCCTGCTGTCTCCCCTAATGCCAGAGTCCCTGCCACCCACTGACCAGGTGCTTCGTTGAAGTGGCACTGTCTCTAGCAGGAGAATGTGTGGAAAGAGCATGAAACGTGGGGTTGGAGGGCCTGGGTCAAGACCTCAGGCCCAACACCTGTGCAATGGCTGAGGGAGGTTTTCCTCACTGCACTGTTGAGAAGCAGATGAGACAACGCAAGAGACTGCGTTACCCACACATTGAGGAATACGGACATTTTAATTATCGCTGCTCTGTGTTCAAAGCTCCAACTCTCTCAGGTACCATACTGGAATTGTCACAGAAATTATTCCGTTTCACCCTCCCAGCACATCTGCCAAGTAGGCACGTAGATGTTGTTAGGCCCATTTCACAAATGAGTAAACGGGGGGTGGGGGGTGCATAGGAGACATAAACTTGCCTCCGCCCACACAGCTAGTTAGGGGCCAGGCCGACTCTACGCTCAGCTATTTCAGACTCTAAAGTACAAGTCCTTTTCTATTGTATCTTTTTTTTTTTTTCATTGCAATTCAGGTCCTGTGAATAAGTAACTTAACTAAAGGTGGGTGACACTTTGTTGAATTAATTTACTGCAAAACAGTGAAGGCTTAGGAAAGTAAATAGACGGGATTCTTTTGCTGATTGCATTGTCTTTAGTAGTGTTCTACTTCTGTACAGGTATCAGGAGCAGGCGAAAGCCTGGGTTCATAAAGCCAAGGGTTGAACTGAAAACGTACCTATCTATCCACAGGATTCTTCTCTTAGTTACAAACTCACCTGCTTTAAGCCTCCAAATATTTCTGCCCTTTATGTTTTAAAAACCTGCTGTTAATGGACAACTCCGTGCTTTCTTCTGGCTTGGAGATAAGGAGTCTCATGGCCATAGCTGAGGTGGGGAACTTGGTGTCCCCTCCCCGCCCCTCCCACCCCTCCGCCACAGCAACTGTGCAGCGGCTCATGCCTCTGCAATTCAGTGTCTCTTGAAAAGGTTGGTGATCCTGTGGTCTTAGCCAGCTCCTGAGTCAAAATTTGAGCTACTCATCCCTCCAAACTCTGCCCGAGTACTTACAGCATCAGTGGTAAGGCCAAACCTCTTACCTGGTTGGGGAAAGAACCAACCTTTCCCCCCACCCTCATGTCTGGCTGGCAGAGATCAGAAAGTCCAGGCTGTAAGGATCACCTTTCAGTGGCTGGGAATCTAGACCCCATACCCAGAAACTGACTTTATTGACCTGGTTAGGTCTCTAGTTCTACTTCTTTTTAACACTTCCAGATGCGTTGGATAGCTAGTTGAGGTGGCTGGTCCCTGAGTTAGCCAACACATTCCTGACAGATCCACCTTGGAGAAGTGTCTGGCCCGGCCAGAAAGGCCTTTCCCAGAGCTCCCTAGTACCCCTCAGCCAGAGGCAAGAGAGAAAAGCAGTTAAGAGCAAACTGCTCCCTGGTCCTCAGACCATGTGCTCAATTCTTGTGGGCCCCCACCTTCCTGCTCACCCAGATCCCTGCATCAATCTCCCCAAGGGCCCTTCTAAAATGACCAGAGTGAGGGGACCTGCCTCAGTCTGATAAAGCCCCCAACACAGTGCAGGCTTGGAGTGGGGTAGCCTGATGCAGGTTCCCAACAAATCATAAGCCAGCTGTCTTCCCCTCACTTTACCCTGCCTCGAGAAGCCTAGTAAACATACAGCTTGGCTCGTGCAAAATCCCTGTCCAGGGAGTCTGAGGTGGGGCCCGAACGTGCAGCTCAACAAGCACCGAGAGGAAACTGGCGTAAACACCAGATGCCTGCATTTATCAGTCAGACCCTCACCAGGACTGGGCATCCCCAAGGGGTGAGCACCTCTCACCAGCCTCAGCCCCATCAACACACACACACACACACACACACACAGGTGCGTGCACACACACACTCGAGGCACACACATGCACACAGGTTCCCATGCGCACACACACACATATGTGTGCACAATGCAAACATTCACACACCCATGCGCGATGCGCACCTGTGCACGCAGGCACACAGGCACTCACACACGTCCATGTGTGCAGATGGTCTGACTGTCCCTCGTTACACAGTCTCCCCAGGGAATGCTGGTCAGCCCCAGTTGCCCTCTCTCTCCGCTCCGCCTCCTGAGAGGCAATTAGGTGGGTAAAGATCACCCTCCCTGACCCTCTCTCCCCGCCCCCAAGTCCAGAGGCCCAGCAGGCAACACAGGCCCCTGGGACGTGTGTAAAGGGATGTCACCCAGGACACACAGACCTGGGCTGCCAGGTCCCTGGCTCAGTCCCCGTCACTGACCAGGCCAACCTCAACAAAGTGACTAATTTGTTTGTCTTGTGCCGCAGCCAGCCCTGGCCTCCTGGGGGAACTGGCATGGGGTCTTTAGGCTTCCTACCAGCAAAGTGCTGAGTCTGAACGGACCTGCACCCAGGGGTAGGGGCTGCTTTCTCATGGAGCACCTCCTTGGGACCTGGCCCCCACCCTCCCCCTGCCTCCCCTCCACTCTGAGAGGCACCTACAGAGCCCACGAGGCCTGCATCCCTACAAGGCCCCACCAGGTCCACCTGGGTCTCCCTGCTCCCAGATTCTGAGGTCTGGTTGGGAATGAGCACCTTGCCCCCCTCTCCATGGCACCAGTCCTAGCTGAGCAGGTGGGTGAGGAACCCCTCTGCTGCTGCCCCCGCCCCTTCCACGCAGTTCTTTACCTAGCTGCCCCATTGCACCTGGGGGCAAGGACCCCTGATGGCTGCCATCCACTTCCAGACGCTAGCTGCTTTCCTGCCACCACCGGGGACGAGTGGCTCCTAACAACTCCTGCCCCTGCTCTGGGACCACCTTCCCTTCTTACCCCCCGCAGCCCAGTGCTGGCTCCTTGCAGGGCAAACACGGGTGTTCATGGCTGCCCTCTACCTGCAGCTCCCGGTGACTTCATCAACTCTATTGTTCTACTGCTACTTGGGGGCAGATGCTCCCCAGATCCAGGCTCCCACCAAGGCTCTTTCCAAGCTCCCAATCATCCTCCTTTGAAAGCCTGATCCTGACCCACTGCTCAGACCCAGCCCTGGCTGACCTGGCCTCTTCTGCCCACCACACACCTGCCAGAGCAGCCCGGGGCCTGGTGGTTCCTCCTCATGGTCACCCTCCCTGCTGCCCACGGGGTCTCCTCTGAGAAGCTCACTCCACTTCATGCTCAGCCTGGGCCACTACCTCTCGGAGGGGAACACCTCAGCACGTGGCATTTGATGTGACTTGCCCAGGGTGCCTCACCGCCCAGAGTCAAGGCCAGGGTCGGAAAGGTTGGGTGCAGCCCTCGGGCTCGCTCTGGTGGGCTCCGTTTCCTCCCTTTCCTCTCCCTCTGCTGTGTCCCTCTCCTTACCTCCCCTCTTCATTCCGCCATTGCATTTAGCAGCTGGAGAAGGCTGGGTTCCTGAGGAGCTGCCCTCGGAGGAGCACGTGTCTGGGCTACAGGCCTGAGGGGAGGACACCGGGTCCCTTCCTGGGCCATACCCAGGGCTCACACTGGCTGGGCTTCAGGGCTTGGGCCCTGTGGAGCACCTAGCCCCGTCCTGGATAAGTCCTCAGAGGCTAACTCGGGCTGTGGCTACGAGGCCTTTGCTCTGCAGACTACCTGGCCCCTGCCCGGACCTAAAACCCACAGACTCACACTGGCTGGGGTACAGGCCCTGGGTTCTAGGGAATACCTGGCCTTCTTCTGGGCCAGCACCCACTGGTTCCCTTGGGACTGGGCTGCGAGGCCTTTCCCGCACCTTCCTGGGTGTGGAAACCTCAGGTTCACACTCACCTGGCCCACGGAGCCTGCTCTCTGTCGAGTTCCCGACTGGATCCTGGGCTCAGCATCCACAGGCTCACCCCGACCTGGGCTTCCAGGCTTCTCTCTGTGGAGCTCCCTGTTCCCTCCTGGGCCCAGGAAGCATGGGCTCCCTCTGGACTGGCTCACTCTGGCCTGAGCTGTGCGGCTCTCCCTGTGACAACCTAAACCTAGAAATGACGGGATCTCCCAGGGCTGGGTACATACTGGCCTGTGGTCTAGGGAGCTTCTGGTCCAGTCCCAGGCCCAGTTCTCATGCGGGCTCTGGCCCTGTGCTCACTCAGTGGAGTACTGGCCCTTCTGCACCCCAGATCTCTCCCAGCCTGGGCCATGGGCCTTCCTGGCCATCTCTGGCCCACTCCAGTGCCTCAGCTGCTCTCACTGCCCCTGCACAGCTGAAGAGGTGGAAGGTGGGAGCAGTGCATTTCTAGGGGTGCCTGGCCGGGGGCGGAGGCAGGGATCCTCCCTCTTCAGATTTCTGACTCTTCCTGCAGTGTCCCAGAAAGAACAGGATCACTTCCCAACATTCCAGGCTGGCTGGGAGCACCCTGCCTGGAGGCAAAGGGACGAGGGAGCAGGATGACTTCTCAAAGCTCCAACCATCATGCAGTTCCTGGGAGGGACAGCCACCTGCTGGGCCAGGGATGGGCAGGTGGGAAGACTGAGGGTTGGAGCATGACTCATTTTTGGGACAAGCCTGAGCCCCACATCCTATTTCATTCTGCCCCAGCACAGTAGTGAGCTGTCCTGGCCTGGAGATCGGCAGGCCTGACTGGACAGGTGGCTCCAGGGCTGGTGACCTAGCCCTTGTGTTCTGCCACGGGTAGCAGTTACCTG